ATAACATGAAGTATATATCTTCGATTAGGATCAAGAGCGAAGTCAATTAAGCTAAGTTTGACAATCGGTTTGTTATGCGAACTCTTCGATCCCGAAGCCCGTCTGGCTACTTATAGCTTTAGCCTCTTAATATTTACATTTGCATGAATTCAATGAAAGTCAATAACAAACTTTCTTTTAGCACAATTTCCAGTTATCATATCAAAGGCTAATTGCCTTACTAATTAAGGAACACAAACAGTTCCTGCGCTTGAGCTTTTCACGATGCACACATTTAATCGCGCCTCTAAAAGCGTTCATAACTCAATTTGCTTGTCTTCAGTTGTGTTGATTCGTGTGTGAGCATTGCTGACATGTTTGGGCTCGGGGCATAAAACCAAGCTAATTGGTCCACGTAAAAGCTAGGCCAGTTCTTACAGTCAATAGACATGTTTGCGGGCTGACCAAAACAAAAGACTGCCCTGCACAGCCGAAAGCCTGAATTGAAACTGAACTAGCCTCAATCTGTGCCGTCGAATTCGAATTTCGCATTGCTCGACTTTGCCATTGCAAATTGCGTCAAATGGCAACCACGAAATGGCCAGTTTCCCCCTGTGGCTAACTGTACAAAAACGTGCCATATACAGAGAATGCAGACAAAAGCAAAATAGACCTGACAAGAATACCTTCTTGATTTGTATTCAATTTTGTAATGCAAATTCTGTTTATGAAGCAATAACTCGATTATTTTCACTATATAAGTCTTACAGTTAGTCTTTATGTTCTTTAATATGGGACGGCGCTCCTTTTGTACCCTGAGTAAATTCAATTCAAGCCATGGAGATGTAATTTAAGAGCGGCAATTGGCCTAGTAAGTGATTTTTCACATGCATATTTCGCTCACACAGCTCCATTGGCTTGATCATGCTAAGCAGGCGTTTGTAGTTCGAGCTAATAATTACATATTAAATATCGTTTGCAGCTGTGTGTGCATCGACAGCTCGTTTGAATTAAAGCTTAAAGCTAGAGGTGGCTCAGCACAACTATTAAGAATTTATAATACAATACGAACTGGCAGCAGTTTGTTGAATAAATAATTGGCTTGATTTAACTTCCCATTAATCAAATTATTAAATTACTGCAGCAAATGCTACCTAAAGAGCAAAGTCTCAAATAAAGTTGTATATTAATATCAAATTGTTTAGTAAATTCTAACATATATACTTGCAATAAAGTAAATATACCAGTTATTGAATGTAAGCTATAATTCTGATATATCTGATATACATAACATAACGAAATATTATATTAAATATATTAAATATATCAATTTAAATGCCTTTGAATGAACGATCTCGTAGCCTTCTTAGACAAATTTAACCCATTTTATATTTTTAGTTCAATTATTTTAAAGCTTTCCTTTGAATCATCTCCGCTTTGATATGGCAGACGATGGCACAGGGCTCAAGAGCTTTGTTCAAATAGCGTGCATAAAAAAATGAATACAAAAATATTTTCCACACACACCGAAACGCACAACATAGCGTATACTTGACTCTGCTTGCTGCTGGTGTATTTTGTGTGTTTTGCAAGCTTGTGTGGTAACAGTTTTCCCAGTTATTAGCATATTCTCGACATGCTCAGCTACTTAATGATGCAGAAATGTAAAAAAGCTGCCAAATTCACATACACACATAAAAACCCTGCCAGTTTGAAGCCATTGATTATGCGTATGTGTGGCAAATGTAGCTTAGCGGGCAGAGCTGATTGCTGGCTTTGCATTTTTCGTATCGCTTTGGTTTCATCTGGTTTGCTTGACGAATGGCAAGTCTGCATATTGATCCCGATTTCAGCAATTTATGTTAAATACGTGCGCTGAAATATAAGGCGAAGCCAAATAGTGTGCAGCACTCTCTCCCTCTCTCCAAATTGGTGCGCGTGAGCCAAAGGATATGCGTTCATGGAGCAGATAAAACACGTCGTATCTTTTCCGGCTTGTTTTATACAATTAGTTGATTCAGATATATTTTTGCGGTAGAGATTCAATTGATTTGATCTGTCTCTGCTTGTGCCTTGTCTAAGCGTTAATTGAATTAAATTGTATTATGCGTCGTTAGCTGATGTAAAATGTAAAAAATAAAAAATGTTTATAAAGTATTGCAAGAATTATTATATATTATTTTTTATAAATAAATACTTTCATTACTTTTTTATAATTTAATAATTAATAATAAGTCTTGCAATAGTTGTTCATTTAAAATATCAAGCAAAACATATATGTAAATTAATTTTTTATATATTTTTATTCATGGAATTCCTTTTTAATTAATTGTTAACAATGTTGCTTTATTTTAATCAGTTTACATTTTCAAAGCGTTTATTCTTTAACTCGCTTTTATTAATAAAATAATTTATTTACTTTTTAAGCTTACTACATAGCAAAGCTAAGCATTCATGGGGGTAAAACAGTCAACAACTTTAGGGGTCTTATGTCGTGCCCTAAATGTAGTGAGCCCTAATATAAACGCAAGTTAAAAGGACTCCCAACAGTGTGGGCTATGCCTGGCCATGCTTTGACTACAGCAAAGCTAGTGCATAAAAAATATGTAGGGTATATATAGGGTATATAGAAGTCATGAGTAAAGCTAAGCTTACAAAGCAAAGAAAACCAGATCTATAGCTGTCCTTTGCTTATAGAGCTCTATATTGAATTCCATCGTGTGTAGTAAAATTCTTATGGCATTTATTAATGCTTTGTTTTTATTTGAGCTGTCATTTGGCTTTTAGTAATGTCACACACAGAACGCACAATGGACAAAGAAGCTCAACGACTGAAAGGCGTTACCGAAACAAAGCAAGTTTCGAAATATTCGTTCCCATATAGCTTAACAGTAGAATATAATTAAGCCATGGGTGAGCGACCTATGCAGCTGCTTATATCCGTATATAAACTCACCTGCGCCACTGGCAAGGTTAACAATTGGTAAGCAGCATTGGGTCAACTCTGTGGCGCTGTGGTGCTGTGGGGCACACATTCGCAGCGGTGAAAAAGTCAAACGTTGCCCGCCAGTGGGTCATAAAACGCATGAATGCACAGTGAGTACGTGTTTGAATGAATGCGCCCGAAAACTGGAGCACTAGGCCAAAAGTGAATGCGTGAACAGTTGACTGAGTAAATAGCCGCACAAAAGAGTCAGCGACCAAGAAGCGGGCGAAGGGCTGACATTTAAAGAGTGGCGCCACAAACTGTCCTTGGCTTATCAATATTGAGATAAGTGCAATTAAATAGCCAACGCGCTCCATTGTCGTTAGACAATTAAAAAAACATGGAAGCGCCATAAATTATTTGCCTGATGCAGACATCTTAGTCAAAGGCCATTCGAAGCACTTTACTTTACTCAACTGAGGTTAGGAAATCGCTTTAGGTAGCACAGCTGACTGCGAGGAAACCCGCCAAAGTTTCACTCTGCGTGCTATCAACAAAAAGCAACACAATAAATAACTCATACGCAGCGTTTTCCACAGGCACTTGAGTAAAATACGCAAGGCTAATCAAGCCAAGTGGAGCATATAACGTTTATAGACATAAGCCAAGTTTGTGCGAAAAAGTCATCACATTTTCCACCTCCCAGCTGGCGCTGCGCAGACATTTTTACTTGCTGGCTGACTTTCCAGCTTTTCTTTTTGGCCAAGTGTCACAGGATTCCGATTTGGCTTTAACTCCGCCAAATGCTGACACAGCGAAACATGCATATTTTCACACATTGCCCGTGTCAAGACTGCCAGATGTGATTCAAGAGCGCCAACCAAATTGCAGTGGAAGATTTTCTATCACAGAACAGAAACTGATATGCGTAACCCTATATTCAAGTTGTTCTGTGAACTATTTATTATTTACATTTGTGATTACAGTTTTTGTGAATTATTTGTAGAGTGCGATGAATATTTTAACACATTTGGCTTAACTCAATTTTCCACATGTCTAAAAAGATTAATTATTTGCGCAAACTGAAATTCAATTCAATTTGAGCATTTACTATACCCTGCCGCCTTTGAGAGCGGGACACCAGGGTATATTAGTTTTATGAAGGACAGCCGAAGGTGTGGCAGAGCTCATAAAGGATGACCAACTGGCAGCCATGCTCGTCTGGTTATCATTGAAATAGCAGCTCTGCACAGGGTTCAGGGTATCTCTTAATCGACATGCCCTACACTTAACTGGCTCTTCAACTGACCATTAATTTGTAAAGAATATGTAACGACGTAAATGTTTCCATAAATTAAGCCCGTCAACGGTACTCAACCAAATGGCAATCAATAAATTATGGACTTGCCGTAAGAGCAATTGATGCATATAAAAATATATTTTAAAAATGTAACAAAATTGAATATTAAAATATTTTAATACATAAGAAATGTATAAATATTCAAAATTTCTTATTTATTAAAATATTTCAACATTTAATGTAAATATGTATCCATATAGCGATCATTCACACTTTACGTTTTAAACATTTCATTAAATTACTTGCTAATAGAATTTCAGTAGAGCCTTGCAACATTCTATCACACTAAACTTAACTAAACAAGAGTAAAAAAAAATAAATAAATTTGAAGTTAATATTTATTCTGGTTCAATTTTTTCATATTGGAGTTTCTGGTATGCTCTGCTCTTTGCTCTCATACGCTTCTGCCCTTTGTCGTTGGCATCGACGCCATTCATTTAAATGCAAATTTAAAGTTAAGCATGGTCGAGTTTCTGCATTTGGCTTGAATCTGTTATATATGCACCAAGAGAAAGTTTGACACCAACATTATGTACAGACGGAAGAGTAATCATTTTGGATGCTTCGTTGGATGCTTTGTTCTAGGCTACTAAATTCTATGTTTTCTGAATAAACATATACAGGTATATTTTAAAAAATAAAATATAGTTTAATGTTTTTTATAAATATATTTATATATATATTATTTTTTGATTTGATCACGAAAGCTAAGTAGATTCCTTGTCTTACGCACGTAAGTGCATCAAATGCAGCTTTGTTTAATATAAATATTGATATGATACCTTAAGTTCATATATAACGTTTTCCGACTATATAGAAGATTAGCTACATTAACTAACGCTAACTAATTTATGTCTACGGCATTAGCTGCGCTTAGGCAAAGCCGATGATCACGTGGATCAGCCCATTCGCCGCTTCTAATTTGTTCAACAGGCTGCTCGGTTTTCATCATTAAGCTGGATAATTTGAGCTTAAACGGATATAGCTGGCCAAATTTACTCGCTAAACGAAGTTCCACATCTGTCTTGGACACGTTCAGTTTTGGCCTGCACAGAAGTATGTATTAGTTAGAAGCATTAACTAACAACAAAACTGCTTCCTTACCAATTTCGAGTGGAAAAAGCACGAGATTTCTTGACTGCCAGCACATTGAGTTTGGGTTCCATGCAATTTTTGGCTACGTATTCCAAGGATCTGTCCCACTTATAGTCATCGTAAGTGCAAAAGTCTTGGGCACAACTGCGTATGGCCGACCAAGTGGTTCTATTAAAGGCCAGTGCGATACTATGCTGTTCGCTTGACCAGGCTGAATATTGAACCTGGTGAAAAGGCAAGCACGATTAGCCTGCCCACTCATAGTTCCCAACTCACCTTGGAATATTCTATGATATCTTGTTTGGAGAGAAGTTTCAGGGAATTCAAGCGGTTGCCCAGGCAAAAGGCATTGCAATCCGAGCAAAACTTATTGGCAACTTGCTGCATTTTCATGAGAACATACAAAATATCTTCGGCTACAATATAATCTTCCTCCAGAAATAAAACCAAGCCTAATTACCAGAGCAATTCATGATTGCCGTAGATTTTAGTGAAGCATTTACGAACCCGAAAAATTGTGGATTACTTGAAGCTTATGAAAAACTTGATTTGCCTTCCACCACCAATGATGCTTTTCCTGTGTGTATTCGGCGACTCTGTAGTGGCCATGCAGATCTGGATTGAGTGCATTATTACATCGTTTGCTTAAAGCCCTGCAATAAATAGACACTCAGCCTTCGAGGAGACTGCTGAAAGTATTTATGACTTACTTGAGTCTCGTAATATTTCGAGGACAGTCGTGTGGAGCGGTGCCAGGGAATTTATTTGAATGCGTTTGTATGGAATGTGGATAGTAGATTTGCATCACCTTGCTAAACTCAATCGCCAGGACATAATCGTTGATCTTATCGTCGTAGAAATCGTGTGAGAATATAAGCAAAGCCTCGGATATGCCCCTTGCACGCGACAGATTCTCTATCAAGCTCTGCAGGTAACTAGCTCCGTTGTGTACCTGTTGACAAAGTTTTATGTACTTCTCTGAGTGTTTGCACTTTCTCTAGTTACCTGTATAACAATAACCACTGAACTATTTTCTATCGGTCCAAATTTTCTTTCATTTAATATCTCCTGCTCCTCGTTGACCTCCGAGATATAACGATTGATGACCGAAATTGTTGATACACGATAAAATGGGGCTAAACGGGGCGACAGTTAGATGGTTATCACTGCACACAATATAAATCGAGCTACTTACGGAAGAATTTGGTCATATTAAATTTCTTAGAAATTTTCTTATACATTGAGTCGTCTGTTAACCTGTCGCTCGAATAGTCCACTAAATGGTCATAAATAAGCGAGGATTATATAAATTATGAATACTTACTGAACTGAAGACTGAAATACTGCAGCATAACGTAGCCTAGGATCAGCATCGAAATGAGTCGACAGTATATTTGCTTCGATTTCTTGGCCATGATTCAGTCAAGTATTTTGCAATTGAGCTCACTTATTGTTTAGCCACAATAAACTGTTTGCAAAGCCAACTAGGTATTTTTTTCAACTAAGATCTGGTTACTGAATGTGTTCTCAGCTTAGCTGGTTAGGTAACAAAACAATTTGATATGCCAAAGATGGCCACTCAACCAGTCAATTGAACTGGCCTAAGGTAAATATTGATCGCACTTCAAGGGGAAAAGTCAAGTGAAATTACATTTCTACCCTGATGAAAAGTATTTAGACAGGTGAATGCGACCCCAGCTCATCTATTTACCTAACAAACGAAAATAAATGTGGCCACAGCTTGGCATCCACTTGCTATGTAGGTAATATACAGATTGGAATGAGCTGCTCTTCTACGATTCAAGGCTGTTTGTGACCACTGGAATTTGAAATGTTATTTCGATGCGGTTTCTTTGTTTACTGCCGGGATATGCTTTCAATAGAATTCCCTTGAGACAACTTTAAAGGCAAATGCTTGAAGTTGATTTGCGGAATGACTTCAGTATGAAGTGCCTTTGGCTGAACTTACTTTATTGATATATTATGTTTCTGCAACATGGGACGAAATATATTAATCAAACTAGCCGTTAAGGTAGCTTTTCTTCAAAATCTTTTTAAAATTTTTAAAAGCCGAGAATTGTACTGGGATTAAACTACTCTATGTCTAGATTCAGATAAATTAATCTTATTTTTTACTAAAAACAACTCCGATGTCCCATCTTAAATTCAACTTAAATTGCATATTTAGAAAACATTGACATTTACATTATTTATTTTAATCCATAAAACCGAAGCCATCAATACGTGGCAGCTGACTTTGCCAACATTCTTCCGCTTCAATTTGTAAATTGCTTGGCATTTTGACACTTTGCCGGATTTTAAGCACAAGATTGATGATGATGACGATAACCGAAACCAAGTCGAGTTTTTTTGGTGCAAATTGCCACATTTTTATGCTTTGACCATAGCATAATAGAATTTTAATGCTGGGACAATGGCAAAAATATTCTGGTCGTTTTTTATTTATGTTCAAATTGGCTTGAAATTGGATGAAATAATACATTTTGAAATTAATCTAGGTCTTATGCCCATCTATGGATTCAATAGAGTATATTCTGTAGTTCTCAAAGCAAAAAGGGTCAATGAATAACATTCAGAATAAATGCAACAAGTTGAAAAAAATCGATTTTTTTATAATATTAGCTAAAGAAAGGACGAAAATTGAATACAAGTTTTTATTTATGTAAAGATGAAGTAAACCTAGAAAAGGAAAATAAAGCTATAGCATATCTTTAATAAAACTAATTTTATTTCTAATAAAATATAATTTATTTATTTTTCAATAAAGCACAATTTAAGAAACAAATTTGCTTTATATATATTTCTTCTACTCAAATATACATAAATAAATAAAGCAGAAACTAGAACACAGAGTTTTCCTTTCAAATATATTTCAATATATTTATTCAAACACAGCCACCCGCGTAAATAAATTGCAAGTTTTCAACTATTTTGTAATGCATTTATTTAAAAAAATAAATAAAATTAAAATGTGTTTCTAAAAGACGCATTCATTGAAACGCCGCAGGCATAGGAAAGTGCAACACTCCTCGGCAAAATGGCAATTCATCCCGACTGGTTTGCAGTTTTTCTTGATCTGCCACTGATAGATTTGCAAGATAATTAATTAATAAACTGTGAATCGATCGAAGGCGAAGGCGTACCTGTTCTCTGTTCTTCGAAGGGCTCATCACCAAATCACCGAGTGCTTTTTGCCGGGACGTCACAAACTGTGGCAGTACCATGGCTTCCAGTCTGGCAAAAGTTTCATTATTTGACGTATTTTCGACCGAATAGATCAATACGGTCAGTACGAAGAACAATAGACCAATAGACCGGTTCATTTCAATTCTTTTTCCTGACTGACTTCAATGCCTCGATGTGTTCTCTTTTATATTACGTAGTCAATCATTTCCCTTATGCAGCTCAACATAGCACATCTGTTAGCTCAATTCACAGGAATTTATTTTACTTAAGCTTACAAATTCCATTTGAAAGTTTACACTTACTTGATGCAGCCCCTGCTATAAACACATTTCGAATTATTCGCTATAAAAAGAAAAGCAAAGCGGTAAGCAGAATTTATATATAGAATTCATTTTTTTATGTAAAAACTTTTACACATAGATTAACTTAGAAGAAAAAGTGAATATAATTTGATTTATAATAATCTACTTCACTACGTGTAGTGTTTGATGGATTTGAACCTCAAGTAGCAGACAGGAAAATATATTAAATACAATGAAAAACATTTTATGAATTATTTTGATTAAAATATCTTAAGAATTACAAATAAAATTACAAAAATATAAAGCTTCTAGAATTATAAATGAATTTAATTCGACATTCCATTGCTAAACTCTGTTTCGCAATTTAATTGATAATTGACTTCGGCTTAGCAATGTTGAGACTTAGTATAAATTTCTAATTACTAACATAAAATTTAATCGGGTTTTTAATTTTTAATCGAGTTAATTTATTATTAATAGCAGAATATAATACTGTTGTTGCTCCTCCTCTGGTGTTTACAATTTTCTAATGCTATTAATTTTGTTGTGATTGGGTAAGAGGTCCTATAGAGTTGTTGTTAAAATGTTATTCGAGTTTGCATTTTCATATAATACTTGTATTCCCACTGCGAGAAAGAGAGAGAGAGAGTGAAATACAAAGATAGCTGTTGCTGAAAGTAGTGGACGAGTGGAAGACGACTCGAATTAAGCAATCTGGAAAAGCACTCAAATTAAAATGGAAGGTGATCAAACGACTCTACCTCGATAAATATTTAAATACAATTTATATTCAATATAAAATGGGTTCATAGAAAGCGCCACAAATTTTGGTAAGAATTTTCTTTTTATTCCATTATTCCAATATATAAATAAATGAACTTCAATGCTGATCATATTTAGAGCATCTTCTAAAACAATAAATTTTATCTATTGAGAGTAACAGTAGACACGAAATATTTGTTTTTCACAAATAGAAATTTAAATCAGCGATACTTAAGTCAACAAACGCACAACGGAAGAAATGGAAAATATGTTGGCACAACTGCAATTGGTTTTAGATCTCCCCCATCACAAACAACGGTGCACAGCTGAAGCAAAGTGAAGGCAAACAAGCTGCAACCTGATAACATCGAATGGGAAACGTTTTCAAATAAGTAAAGCAAAACGCGCAAAGCAAAAATAAAGCACAAACAAAATCAGATAGTGAGTAAATCAAAATATTGAAAGCTTTCTATAAAGCTTAGCAAAATGCTGCACTTTCCGCAAACTGATGATAAAATACTCAATCAAAAAGCCAAACACCAAATTGAATTACTCTGTGCAATTGTATTGGACCACAGACTGAAGTCAAAGCAAATCTGGCAATGACCTTGCAGCAGCCTCGTCTTGTCCAGAACATTGCCTGCTAAACCAACTGCAATAAGATTATATATGTTGCTGTTGTTGCTATATAAAAAAAGTAGTCCATTCAGGTATTTCTAATCAGTTTATGACTTTTAGGCCTTACTGCTTGCCGCTACGCACAAGAGGGGCAACAAAGCTTTTAGAGTACTTTCAGTATGATACGAATTGAACGTGAATTTGCCGAAGAGGCCGACAGGCACTGTTTGGCAATTTCAGCTGCTCTGAGTGGAGTGTGTCATGTGTGGCACTCGAGTGAAAAGCCCATCAAATCATAATTGAGCAGCAAAGTGTCCATCAATGGGGTGACCAGCGCTAAAATCGAGCTGACAGGAAGCATAAATCAAAGAATTTTGCAAAATTGCTTCAAATTGAAGCTTGACTGCCATTTTGTTGGACAGCGTTTTAGCTACAATATATATTTCTATGCATTGTTCGTCAAGAGCATTAAATTGGTATATTTAAAGAGCTATTAAGCAAATAAAAAAAATCACATATACCATAAATAGCCAAAGAGACTTGAAATGTAACCCACGCGCAGAGCACGCAAAGACAAATTGGGTAAAGGATAAGACAACTGCAGCAAAAGGAACTGAATAACGGATGTGCGTTTGTGTGTGTGTGTGCGTCTGTGAAAAGAGAGCAAAAGGAAAAGAAAGAAAAGCAAATTGGCATCCTGTCAGTTAATCGGATTCTTTGTCGCAGTTGCCATTTGGAACCCACATCTAAATTGAAATTTAATAAGTGCACGTCTCCGGCACATCGGGTGGTTGGCGTGGGCGACTGCACTTATAATGGCTACGACTAACCAGTTGGCCAGCGTCAATTCGTAATGAGTTTAATGGCCCCAGAGAATAATGCAATAAACTACACAAAATTACATTTTAATGGCTGCAAATGTTTTGTAATTGCAATTATGTCACGCGGCTTCCCCTTTATATTGCTCCACATTAAAAATTATAAAATTTACATATGTATAATTTATGTTTCACGTTGTGTATTCTCAATTTACACAGCCATTATAATCAGAACTATGTTTTATTGTAAAGCGATACACAAAATATAATTTAATAATATAGAATTATATATTTACCAAAAAAAGTGTAATTGTTAGAAGATTAATTTTGAAAATTTATTTTAATTCTGTAACGGGACTTTAAAGTTCACGCTTCACTATTATTATTATTACAAATATTTATAAAATTATTTAATTTTGTTTTGAAAGATTTTCACATTTAATTTTATTAAATATTCATAAATACTTATAAATATATAAAATTTATAATATAAATATAAATATTATTATAAAAATAATAAATATTATAATATAAATAATTATATAAAAGATAAAGCTTTTTTTCTGACTCACATCTGATTAAGGTTAGTTATATATATATTGTATACGTAATAAACATAGATAAGTTCAAGCGTAAAACTGATAGATATATGCATAAAAGATTATATGAGCGTATAATTTGCTTTTCAATATATATCGATAATTCATAAAATTTCCACAGATTTATTATAATATCTTTAAGATAGATATACCACTAATGCTAATAAAACTCAAACAACATTCAAGTTAGGATAGCG